TCTATCCACTGTCCTCTCTCTGCATTAAAGGCACAAAAAGCCCAAAAAATTATCTTTAAAGCATGTGCACAAGGTTGTCTGCAGTTTGTTGTGAAAAAAAAACAAGAAATTATCAAACATTTGGTGAAAAGGACTTCAATTGTTGTTGTTGCCGTGGTAACACACAGGTATCAGTACCGTTGGAGTTTTACTAGAATCAAATTAAAGTTTTGAAGTTCTGATATAATGACAATCCTGCAGGCAGCACAGTGTGTGTCTGTGTCTGTGTGTGAGTGAGTGTGAGTGTGAGTGTGTGTGTGTGTGTGTGTGTGTGAGTGTGTGTTGTTAGTGTGTGTGAGTGTGGAGTGTGTGGTGTGTGTGTGTGTGTGTGTGGTCACTGTGCGTGTGTGTGTGTGTGTGTCACTGTGCGTGTGTGTGTGTTAATCATGAACAATAAATACTCTGTGAGACGCAGCGTGGAAACAACCCTGATGTGATGTCATCGTCACCTGATACCTGTTTTTATTTCAATGATCTGATGTTCGTGTTAATGGCGTCTCTCTGCTTCCAGCTGTGCGAGGACTTAAACACGGCGTCATGTTCCTTTAACGTTGGCTCCGTCTGTGGGAATCAAACCCACTACCCTCCTGTGAGGCGTCCAGGTGAGCTTTAATAACCTGTAATTACCTGATATTAACTCAATAAAAAGGACGCCACAGAGAAAAGAGAGAGAGACGGGCCGGGGACGCCTCCCCCTTTTCCAATATTTCCCAGAAGTCCCGGCTGTGGCGGGAAGATAATCCCTGAGAGATGAGGAGAGGGAGCGAGGGATCGGCGAGCGGCGGGGGGAGGAGAGGAATCCTCCAGCGTGGAGTGCTCGCTCTCTTCTTTTTCTCCTCCGAGGATTACGACGGCATTTGAAACATATTTCAGTGAGCGGCGGCAGAGGAGCGAGGGCGGGATTAAGGTGTTACCGTGGAGGGGTGGTGTTAACGCAGAGGGGCGGGGTGTTAAAGATGGCAGAGAGGCGATATTGTTGGGGGTTAGTGGCGCTGGGACGAGTGAGGCGGATACAGCCTTGAGTTTTGTGGGGTTAATGGAGGCAGGCGGGTGTTACGGCGGCGAGGATGGGCGGGGTCAAAGAGGTAAAGATGGAGGATGGTTGGAAGTGCCACAGGTTTGAAAGTTTACTTTCTTCGACACGCTCCAAACATTTAAACATTTAAATGATCTTTACGACCTGCAGGAGAAACCAGAACGTCAGGAAGAAGGCGCCGTGTCCACCTGGCGTTTCTTTTTTCAGTTGTTCTCAATGAGGAGAAAGCGGCCCAGAGGAAAAGAAGGAGTTGAAGTCCTTCCTGTAAAAATGGCGCCGTACTTGTTCTGTTGTCCTCCCACTTTAAAAAAAGTTCTCCTTCATTTTTAAAAAGTCTTTTTTTTTTTTTTTCTCACTCCCTTTCTCCCTGACGACCGTTGCCATGGTTTCCAGAGTGCAGCAGTCTGCTCCAGGCCGGTAACCATGGCGACAGCACTCACAGTGAGAGGAGAGATGAAAGTTTCTGATCCATCAGACACATCGGGAGGGGGCGGAGCGTCTGAGCCACCACCTGCAGCACGGCATGCTGGGAGCTCCGCCCCCCTCTTTCTCTCTCTCTCACTCATCTTATCCCTCGATTGCCCCTCTCTCTCTCTCTGTCATCCCTACATCAGTCAGCTCTCATCTTTTTCATTTCTGCTCCTTTTACCCCCTCCTCCCCCTCCCCCATCCTCCCAGAGAGTGGTATATGAATCAGGATGCATTGTGGGTAATAAATCCAGGACTCTGCAGGTTTTGGTAATAAACTCTGCGAGCTGAACTTGGATAATAATCAGCCTCCAGAGGAGAGAATCTGGATCTGTTCTTCAAAATCTGAACTTTTTAATCATCCTCTGACATCATCCTCACTTATTGATTATTGATCGACACGCCGTCAGGATTTCTATCTCATTAAAGGCAGAGGAAATACTTCACAACACACGCCGCCGCCACTGTAGAAATATAGTCTATGAATGGCGCCTGATGAGGTCTCCTCTTAAAGATAGTGATTAACCAAACGTGCAGCAGGTGAACGTACTTCGTTTGAACATAATGTGGTAAACAATGCTTTAAACGCTAAACAGATTAGCTTCATTAGCTCATCAGGCTCCAGGTAAGAGTGAGCCGGTGATGTTATCCAGGTGAACACGAGGCTGCTCTCTGATTAAAACATCTAACAGCTCCTCTGTGGTCATACGCAAATATTCAGCTGAGATGAGACTTTCAAATAACTCACACACAGACACAACACAACACAACACAACACAAACACACACACACACACACACACACACACACACACACACACACACACACACACACACACACACACACACACACACACACACACACACACACACACACACACACACACACACACACACGACAAGGTGTTGCAGGAGTATAGACGGCGAGTGTTCAGCAAACATCGACTCGTCAGTTCGACTCGGTCTCCTGTCAATATTTATCTCTGCAGCGTTTTGTTTTCACTTCATTCAAAATGTTCATGTTTTGATTCTAAACGCAAATATTTGAAGGTTGGATCGCTGGAGCCATCGTAACCGGGGCGACACAGCACGGTCCCAGAACGGGGTTAAACAGAGCCGTTAGAGAGGACGCCACCTCTGACAGAGCGAGACAACGACGCCTGGTATCAGGTATCATCAATAACGTAATAAATAATACAAATATGAACGTAAGAGGACAGACAGGTAAGAGGACAGACAGGTTAGAGGACAGACAGGTTAGAGGACTGACATGTAAGAGGACAGACATGTAAGAGGATAGACAAGTTAGAAGACAGACAGGTAAGAGAACAGACAGGTTGGAGGACAGACAGATAAGAAGACAGGCAGGTAAGAGGACAGACATGTAAGAAGACAGACAGGAAAGAGGACAGACAGGTTAGAGGACTGACATGTAAGAGGACAGACAGGTAAGAGGACAGACAGGTAAGAGAACAGACAGGTTAGAGGACAGACAGGTAAGAGGACAGACAGGTAAGAGAACAGACAGGGAAGAGAACAGACAGGTTAGAGGACAGACAGGTAAGAGGACAGACAGGTTAGAGGACAGACAGATAAGAGGACAGACAGGTTAGAGGACAGACAGGTAAGAGGACAGACAGGAAAGAGAACAGACAGGTTAGAGGACAGACAGATAAGAAGACAGACAGGTTAGAGGACAGACAGGTAAGAGGACAGACATGTAAGAGGACAGACAGGAAAGAGAACAGACAGGAAAGAGGACAGACAGGTTAGAGGACAGACAGGAAAGTGGACAGACAGGTTAGAGGACAGACAGATAAGAGGACAGACAGGAAAGAGAAAAGACAGGAAAGAGGACAGACAGGTTAGAGGACAGACAGGAAAGAGGACAGACAGGTCAGAGGACAGACAGATAAGAGGACAGACATGAAAGAGAACAGACAGGTTAGAGGACAGACAGGTATCAGACTCACCTTGGCGATGGAGCCGTCTCTCTCCTCCATCACGGCCTTCATCTCCTGGGCGGTGATGTCATGTCTCCGTTGCCTCGCCATCTGCAGGCGCTGGACCAGAACGGAGCCGAACTGTTGGACGTCCTGCACAGACTCTGCGTCACAAACGCCCTGAAGAAGCTCCTCGACGTCCTGACGATCGAGAACACACCGACCAATCAGAACAATCCTCAATCACCTCAGATTAAAATCTACAACCAGAGTGTGAGAGTGTTTACCATGTCACTGTCATCCAGGTGAAAACTGTCCAACCTGAACACGAGAGAGACGAGAAGTTTCAGTTCATTAGAAACAAATACTGCAGAAAATAAAACCATCAAACAGCAACAACAAAGACGGACAAACACAAACAAAAGAGGTCCTCCAGGCCTGTAGGGGGTGGTAAGTGCAATTACATTTAGACATGGATCATTTCTTGTTTTCAATGAAGAGATCTGCAGACAAACTCCTGCACACTTCTTTATCGTACAAACACAGTGTGCTGGAGTCTGCCTGCAATTCCTGATGGATTCCGTCTTCTCCTTCACACCTTTCTGATGAAATAGATTTTTTTTTTTTTTAAAGTTGTGCAACATTTTGATCCAGTAGATGTGGCCCTTGAGCACCAGCATGAAACCAAAACAAACAAAGCTGATTGACCATGTCTCCTCCATACCGAAGCGTTCCCTCCCCTTTGCACACCATGTCGCTGTCATCCAGGAGTCAAGAGGTGACGGCTAGCATCAATCTCCTGTGTCCTGCATTGTTGTGTTAGCATGCTAATGTTAGCGCTCTTTAGTTAGCTCGTAGCTTCATGTTGCATGTAAACTGACACAGAATGAGCGTGATCTAAAAACTCTTACTAACATCCAAATAATCAGTATGTATATCAGTATGTTCTTCTTTTCTAGTTCTTAACTAAAACAGCTTTTATACACAAGGGGAGGAGCCGGCCGTCCCGTCCATGTAAACACGGCTCTGACAACAACACTCACTCATTGTAGACAGTCATGACTCAGAAACACATTTACACAGGATAGACTGGATTTATGATACATTTATGTGGAACATGTCACACACCCTGACCACTTTAACAAAAACCATCCCTGAGACCAGCGGAGATGTTTCTGCCTGCAGTCAGACTCCCGAAGCTCCCACACCTGGCAGAGTCACCTCGCAGTACAATTACCTGCTCAGGTACAAAGCTAACGAGCTAACAGCAGCTAAACTCTGTGTTTTTAGATTTTAAGATCATTGTTAGTGTTCAGGTGATGATTAAACAGCAGGAGGAGGAGCGAGGTATAATCTGACTGATAAATATAAATTAATATATGTACAGTGTGATTATATGGCAGGGGATGACCAGCTCGCCAACCCCCCCCCCCCGCACTTATCCATGTGTTCCAGCCTCTGACCATATTAAATCTGCCCGTGAACTGCGGTCTGTGAGATGACCCGCGCTCTGCAGCAGCTGAGCTGTAATTTTGTCCTTCGTCCCTGAAGTCCAGCTGAAACACTCCGTCTTTAAGAACTCCTCCTCTGCTGTTCAGGACTCCGCGCCTCCCTGCGATGGTGGACGAGGAGCTGGTAACTAGCTGATCGGCTCCCTCTCTCCTCGTGGGAGGCTCTTTTCATTTAGCTGCTGCTGTTTTTTGTAATAAACTGTAATAAGGTGGCCGAGGCGGCTCGCTCTGCAGGGAACAGCAGGTAATGAAAGACCAGCCGCCTCCAATAAAGCTCCTCTAACACCCTGCTTACAGCCCAGCCAGCCCGGCTCAGCTCGACTCGGCTCGGCTCGCTCCACAGCAGCCGTCATTAACGCGCTCACACACACACACACACACACACACACACACACACACACACACAACACACACACACACACACCGTGAGAACATCCACAGTAATCGTTTGGAAAAGTTTCACCTTCCAGATCAGATTCATCAAACAATCCTCCCCGTAATAATGAACTCCACATATACACTTTACATGAATGTGTGTGAATATGAAGTGAGACACCTTTAGACACACAGGTGACTCAATAATCAGCTGATTTCACTGATGACGGGTTTGTTTTGTGTGTGACTGAAGAAAAGTTCGGAGGAAATCGTTGTAAGTTTGTGATGTTTCCTGTTGAATAAATCAAACGAGCTCAAAGAGAGAAAAACAAACAGCAGCTCCACATTACTCACACACACATTTACAGAGGTAACACAGGCCGCCTCTCTCCATTAGGAAAACACACACACACACACACACACACACACACACACACACACACACACACACACACACACACACACACACACACACACACACACACACACACACACACACACACACACACACACACACACACACACACACACACACACACACACACACACAGTCCTGACAGATGGAACATGCTCCTCCATATTCTGTCCCTCATAAAAAGGATTGTGGCCTCCAATATCAATTACCCTCTCATCCTGGGGGGGAGAGAGGGGAGGGGGAGTGATGGGGGACAGGGGGAGGGGTGTGGGGGGAGGCAGGGGAGGAGGGGGGTTATCTGTAATTAGATTTTCTGGTCTATTTGGAGGCTCCTCGAGGTGGACGAGAGCTCGTTCACAGCTCTTAACAAGATCGAGTAGGAGTATAATGAAGAGGAGGCGGAGTAGCAGGAGGAGGGGGGGAGGAGGAGGAGGGAGAGGAGGAGGAGGAGGAGGAAGAGGAGGAGGGATAGAGGAGGAGGAGAGGAGGAGGAGGAGGGATAGAGGAGGAGGAGGAAGAGGAGGAGGTAGAGGAGGAGGAGGAGGTAGAGGAGGAGGAGGAGGGAGAGAGAGGAGGAGGAAGAGGAGGAGGAGGTAGAGGAGGAGGAGGAGGAAGGAGAGAGAGGAGGAGGAGGGAGAGAGGAGGAGGAGGATGAGGAGGTTTTCCCCCTTTTTATATAGAAGCAGAAAACATGTAAATAAGGAGTCAACATCTTTCTCCTCAGAGAAAACAAACAAACAAACAAACAAAGAGTCTTCTCTGTAACAGCTCTGTCTTCAATCAATCATCCACCTGATATGATCTATAATTATTCTCCAGTTAATCAGAGTTTAACTCATGAGTTTGATTTGAGGATAAAGAGATGCGAGTCAAATCTTTAAATGTTTCTAAACACAAACCTCCTTGTTCTTATTCGTCTGTATTTTGTCTCCTTCACTCGGGTTTCACCTGAATAAGGCTCCGTGTCCACCTGGCCTTTTTTTCTAAACGTCTTTTTATTTTAGTGTTTTCAGCGGAAGCAATTCTGGAGGAAATTGGAGAATTTCAGGAGAAGTTCATCTGATATTATCCATCATTTCAGGAGTGAAGATATGAAAACGGCTTCTGTATGTGTGTGTGTGAGTGTGGTCGTACTCAGCGGCCTGCTGCAGTTGGCGTGCTCTCAGCAGAGCCTCGTCTCTCTCCTCATTGGCCAGCAATAGGCGTGACATCAGAGCCTGATCTCTGTCCTTCTGAGCGGACAACACCTCCTCTAGGACAGCTGAGGAGACAAGGAGACAAGGATGAGAAGAGGCAATAGGGGCAGGAGAGGAGGAGACAAGAGGAGAAAGAGATAGAAGGACAGCAGAAATGAAGAGGAGGGGAGGAGGAAAAAATATGATGAGGCAAGGAGGCAAGGAGGCAAGGAGACAAGATGACGAGGTGACAAGTTGATAGGGAAACAAAGAGAAGAGACAGGAGAAAATTAGATGGGTAACAAGGAGAGGAGGACTTAGGGAGGCATTTAGACAAAGAGACAAGGAGACAAGGTGACGAGGTGATAAGTAGAAAAGGAGACCGAGACAGGAGAGTAGGAGAGAGGAAGGCAAGGAAGGAAGAACATGAGGAAAGGAGGTGGAAATGTGAGGCTAGACTAGGACTGGAGGAGACAAGGAGAGGAGGTATGAAGGAAAGGAGATGATGGGGCCAGAGGAGGAGAAGACATGTTGAAACAAGGAGATAAGGGGGCATGGCATGTAGGACAAGAGGGGACAAGCAGAGAGAGAAGACAACAAGGAGGCAAAGTGAGAAAGAGACAAGTAAGCAAGGAGTCAAAAAGAGGTGAAGAGACAAGGACAGAAGGGGAAGAGGAAAAGGGGGGGAATGGATGAGGAGACAAGAAGTGGAAGCAAGGAGAGGTAGAGGCAAGGAGGCAAGATGAAAAGGATAGAAGAGTATAAGACAAGGAGACAAGGGGAAGGGAATGCAGGGAAAGCAGGAGGCAACAGGAGGATACAAGGATAGATGAACATGAGGAAAGGAGAAAAGAGGAGAGGATGCAAACAGAATGAGGGAGGAAGAGAAGACATGTGGACACAAAAAGATAAGGAGGATAAGAAGACAACAAGGGGGCAAGGTGAAGGCATCAAGGAGAGTAGTCAGGGAGACGGGAAGAAAGATGAGGAGACAAGGAGAAGACAGGAGGAAAAAGAGGGAGATAATGAGATAAACGAACAAGGAGGCAAGCAGACAAGGAGAGGAGGAGAGGAGTCAGTTTTAGGATGGTGTGTATGTGTGTGTCTGTTTGTGTGTGTGCATGCGTGCGTGTTTGTGTATGTGTGTGCGTGTGTGTGTGTGTGTGTCCATCCTGTGGTCCAGGTGTAATAACAGAGAAATGACCACAGCTCATGTGAGACTCGATAAAATCAAATCAAAGAAGAAACTCGACAGAAACACGTCGTCATAGAAACATGCTGGATCTGTGAGTTCTGATTGGACGGATCAATCATCTTAAACCAATAAAAACAAAACCAGCAACACGAAGAAACTTTAGAATCCGGATTCTCTCTTTTATCTTTAATGTTATTTAGTGTTTGAGTCAGTGACCTGCGCACACACACACGAGACAGGACACACACGAGACACACACACACACACACACACACACGAGACACACACACACACACACGCACACGCACACACACACACACGAGACACACACACACAAGACACACACACACACACACACACGAGAGACACACACACACACACACACACACACACACACACACGAGAGACACACACACACACGCACACACACACACACACACACTTCTGTTTAGTGTGATCAACAAACTAAATAAACGTTGTCAAACATTATAATGATAATTTACTTTTTCTTGACGTAACCGACCTGAAGATGAAATAAAATCTGTTGGACAGACACATTCTGTTTCTATGGTAATCCTGCTGGATTATATTTACACACACACACACACACACACACACACACACACACACACACACACACACACACACACACACACACACACACACACACACACACACACACACACACACACACACACACACACACACACACACACACACACACAGTTGAATCAATATTACATCTGATCGCTGGTTAAACACATAAACATTTCTGTTAAACTAACAGCTGCTCGTTAACTGTCACCTCGTTATCACGGCTGTTTTTTTAATTACTGTGTGTGTGTGTGTGTTGGTATTAAACAGTGCGCAAGAAAAATATTCAAATATTTAAGATGTCGTGGTTGGATCAGATCTGATTAAGAGGAGAGTTAACTGTAACATTCACCCTCCTCTTCCCCCCTCCTCTTCCTCCTCCTCCCTGTCGGCCTCTCCCAGCGCTCCTGCTCCTCTGCCCCCCCCTTCATCCTCCCTCCCCATCCTCCACCTCCTCCTCTCCTTACCTCGGCCTCTCCCAGCCTTTGGCCTCCCTCTGCGCCTCCTCCTCTTCCTCCCTGCCCCCCCCCATCTCTTCCTCCTACCCCCCATCTCTTCATCCTCCCTCCCATCCTCTGCCTCCTCCTCCTCCCTCTCCTCACCTGTCGGCCTCTCCCAGCCTTGGGCCTCCCTCTGCTCCTCAGTCAGCTCTTCCTCCACCTCCCTCCTCTGCAGTTCCTTCTCCTTCTGGACAAGCTGATCCTGCAGCTGAAACACAGTCAGGTGTTGCTATACCTGTGAGGACCTCACTGTGTATATGTAAAGAGTTTACAGAGTGTATTTGTGTGTGAGAGTGTTTACCTTCTTGTTGATGTCTCTCAGAGCGTCGAGCTCCTTAAGTAAAAACGAGATGTTTTTGTTCCGATCTATAGTCTGAACCCGACTGGGCGTTGTGATTGGACCGAACGTGACCTCCTGATGAGAGCTGAAGGAAACAAGAAGTTTCGATAAACACACAAAGCCAACAATGTGATCAGTTATCTCTCCTCTCAGCCTGAACAGAGAATCACGTTAGTTAGTCCAGGAGGATAAAGAAATATCAAGTTCACCTGTCAACGTAAACAAAACAGCAACAACAATCCTCAGTCTAAAGACCTGTTAGCTAGGATCAGTACCAGGTGGTCCCAGTTTCATGACCTCAGTACCAGGTCCCAGTTTCATGACATGTTAGCTAGGATCAGTACCAGGTCCCAGTTTGATGACCTGTTAGCTAGGATCAGTACCAGGTCCCAGTTTCATGACCTGTTAGCTAGGATCAGAACCAGGTCCCAGTTTGATGACCTGTTAGCTGAGATCAGAACCAGGTCCCACTTTGATGACCTGTTAGCTGAGATCAGAACCAGGTCCCAGTTTGATGACCTGTTAGCTAGGATCAGTACCAGGGCCCAGTTTGATGACCTCAGTACCAGGTCCCAGTTTGATGACCTATTAGCTTGGATCAGTACCAGGTCCAGTCTGATGACCTATTCGCCAGAATCAGTGGCAGGGTTCAATTTGATGACCTGTTAGCTTGGATCAGTACCAGGTCCAGTCTGATGACCTATTCGCCAGAATCAGTGGCAGGGTTCAGTTTGATGACCTGTTAGCTTGGCTCAGTACCAGGTCCAGTCTGATGACCTATTTGCCAGAATCAGTGGCAGGGTTCAGTTTGATGACCTGTTAGCTCGGATCAGTACCAGGTCCAGTCTGATGACCTGTTAGCTAGGATCAGTACCAGGTCCCAGTTTGATGACCTGTTAGCTTGGATCAGTACCAGGTCCAGTCTGATGACCTGTTAGCTCGGATGAGTACCAGGTCTCACTTTGATGACCTGTTAGCTTGGATCAGTACCAGGTCCCAGTTGGATGTCCTGTTAGCTTGGATCAGTACCAGGTCCAGTCTGATGACCTGTTAGCTCGGATGAGTACCAGGTCCAGTCTGATGACCTGTTAGCTCGGATGAGTACCACGTCTCACTTTGATGACCTGTTAGCTCGGATGAGTACCAGGTCCCAGTTTCATGACCTGTTAGCTTGGATCAGTACCAGGTCCAGTCTGATGACCTGTTAGCTCGGATGAGTACCAGGTCCAGTCTGATGACCTGTTAGCTCGGATGAGTACCAGGTCCCAGTTTGATGACCTGTTAGCTCGGATGAGTACCAGGTCCCAGGTTAAAGACCTATTAGCTACAGGATCAGTACCAGGTCTCAGTCCAATGACCTGTTAGCTAGGATCAGAACCAGGTCCCAGTTTAAAGACCTGTTAGCTTGGATCAGTACTAGGTCCCAGTTGGATGTTCTGTTAGCTAGGATCAGTACCAGGATGATTCTATATTTGTGTTGGAAGAATCCGCGATAACACTGATCACCCTCGGACATAGGGAATGACTACGTGCAGTGAATGCATCGTGCAGGTGGGCTGGTGGTCATCAAGGCTGTGATTGGTCAGGACTCTGCTGACATCATCTCAGTGAGTGTTTCATTAGAGTGTGACCTGTGTGTAGTCGGGTCAGGTGTTTTAACCTCACTTTATCAGAAGTGAGGCTCAGAGACGGAGGCTGCAGGTTATGAGGCGTTGCTTTAATAAGCAGTGACTGATGTTCACCTGTAATTCTCTCATATTACCTTAAAGGTCAGACTGCTTCTTAGCTTAATAAAGCGGGTAAATAAGACACAGAAATGTGGCTGACGCTGTCTTCTGTAATTGACTGTTTCTGACTTTATAATACCAGCTGCCTCTAATCAACTTCCCTCTCCTCGTTCTTACTATCGTTCTATTTCAGGCACCCTCCATCTAACGCTTCCACTAATCAAATCAAATCTAAATTTAATAGGTCATATTTCATACAGTGATGCAACTCACACGGATCCACAAATTTCATTTGAACGTGCATCAAAAAGACACAAAAGAAGGAAAGGTATGAACGCTGGAATCTAAAGAAGGCTGAAGTTTAATGAAAAGCAATAAACTTTAATCATCTCTTCTGTGTGGAGACTCTACACATATCACATGAAGAAGAACATTCTGGGATCTTTCACACAGACAAAGTTTATTTATGAGGTTACACTGTTTACAGCAGAGAAGAAGAGAATGCAGGACTTTATTTCACTAATAGTCTGAACTGCAGCGTCTGGAGGGTGATGTTGGTGGTTGAATTTGGGTTGCTGATGTTGGTGGTTGTTTTTGGGGTTGTTGATGTTGGTGGTTGATTTTGGGGTTGTTGTTGGTGGTTGTTTTTTGGGTTCTAAGTAGTGGTTTGTTGTCATGTCATGTCATGTCTGTGTACTGTTTTTAGACGCTGTAGTAGTAAAGCAGGTGGTCTCACCTGTCGTCAGTCTTGACCAGGTGTCTTCTGACAGCAGGACTACCAGGACCTCTAGACGCTCGTCCTCCATCGTCTCCTCTGCTCTCTGCCCGAGGAGAGGGTCCTGGGCTGGGGGGTAGGTCCATCTCTATCTCACCTACGCCTCCTCTCCTGTGGGAGAGGGGTGACACAGGAGAGAGAGACGTCCTGTGGGAAAGGGGTGTGACGGGAGAGAGAGACCTCCTCTGGGAGAGGGGTGACACAGGAGAGAGAGACCTTCTGTTGAAGAGGGGTGAGACCGGAGAGAGAGACTTCCTGTGGGACAGCAGAGGCGTGGAGGAGGATGTGGGAGGCTCCTGAAGGTGAGGAGGAGCTGTAGGACGACAGAGAGACAGACTCAAAGTCACACCGAGATGTTGTCGTCATTATTTCATTTTTAATACATTTGTTGGGCATTTTTGGGGTGTATTTGTAATAAAGACACAATAAGTTAAGTTGCTAATTGAAATAATTGACTTTAGGCTTGCTGGTGTAAAGATCCCAGCACCTGTAGATCTGGATCAGGACACTATGCATACGGGAGGCAGAGCTTTTATTAACCTGTGCACGTCTCCTTTGGATTCATCTGGATGTTACTAACTCCATATTTTCACCGGAGAATATTCGATGATTTGCAGGTTCCTGTGGATCTTTGGATTCATCGATTTCTTCAACATTAAATCCTGATCCAAAGTTAGTCACACAGTTCCTAAAGGTTTGGTGTTCAGATTCTTTTCAACTTGTTCTTGCGTCATCGAGGTAATAATACGAAGAAAAACTCCATAAATGTTTGTCGTTATGCAGATGATACTCAACTACACCTGTCAACCTGCTAACTGAACTGAGGTTGTTATCTTCCACTAGTATTTGATACCACATGTTTTCAATCATTACAGTCTGTTCTACTACTGATCAATAAAAGTTTCAAAACTTCTGTTTCATAAGACAGGCGTGTAAGAGAGGATTCAATCTCCTGCACTCTGCCTAAAGTTTTCAATTACATAAGCAATGTTTTGGTACAGATACGTTGCTGATGGATTTGACTTATTCAGACACTGTGCAGGAGTTTGACTGCATTTCTTGATAACTGAAAATAAGAAGTTACCCGATATCGTGTGTGAGTGTGTGTAAGACTTTGTTGTAGTCGAATTAAACAGATCTCATTTTGATTTAAACTTTATTCATATCAAAGTTTAAATTATTTGTTATTATTATTATACCGTGACACTCTGAACTACATTAGAAGCAGACTAAAGTTATTGTGCTTGACCCTGGAGGCATCACAGATATATTTTCAAAACTGTCCAACAACCTGCCGCCGGATCTCACCTTCAGGCCAGTCGCTGTGCTCCAGACTCCGGCTGATCCTCGTTCTGGAAACAAACATGAGAAACATGAGAAGTCATCACATTTCATCCTGAACGCTCCTGATCTCCTGCCTGCTCCTCAGAGGATGAACCCTTTACGCGTTCATTACCCAGCATGCACCTTCTCTCCTGAACTCTCCTCAGGCTGACATGTTGTGTTTACCTGTCCGTGCTGCTGGCTCTCTGCCGGCCAGGTGAAGGCAGACGCTGTTGCAGCTCCACGTTCACTCTGGGATTAGCTGAAAACATAAAAAAAAGAACTGAAACCAACAGTTTGCTGGTAAAGCAACAGGATGTGTTTACATCATCACCCCACCTGTCTGTCTGCAGTTTCAGTACACCTGTCTCTCTCTCTCTCTCTCTCTCTCTCTCTCTCTTTATTAATCATTAGAGAGCAGTAATCCTGTTGTCACGTCGAGCTTTCTAAATACTTGCAGCTCATCAGCAGAGCAAACACAGCTTTAATATCTCGTTAAGGCCTTGTTAAGGCCGGTTAACGACTCTTGTTAAAGAGGAAACCAATCAGAACACAGCTCCTCAGGTGTAATTAAAACAGAAGCAGAAATCACGCTAAATGCTCGTTAAGTCGAAAGCAAGCAACAAAACACACAGAGATCATTAAACACTCAGCAGTGTGTGTGTGATTGTGTGTGTGTGTGTGAGAATAAGTGTGTGTGTGAGTATGTGCGTGTGTGCGCATGTGTGTGTGAGTTCAGAAAGCGTAGCGGACAAATTAATGTGATTTCGGTCTTCGATGCAAATTCACATGAAAAATCTAAATTGTCTTGTAAGCACATTTCGCACATTTGCGTGGTGATATTGTGGCAGAGAGCCGTCAAGGTCTCACCAAACTCCATAAAGAAAACAGGACATTTTATCCTCGTTATATCAGCCGGTTCATTCTAAAAAATATCTAATAATGAAATCAACATGTTTCCTACACACCCCGTGTTGGTACTTCTTCTTTTCAGACAAACTCGTGCACACTGACATAAAGTTTAGACAGCATGCACGAGTGTGTCTGCCATCTTTGATTCATTAATTCTCCTCTTGCACACACCTGTCTGATGAAATCAAAGCCCTTTCATCACCCTTCTCTCTAAAGTGTTGTTCATTGTTACATCTGTTTGTTTGTCATAATGGACGTCATTGTCTCACTTGTTGCAAACAATTCTACCGACAGGTACAAAATAAAGTCACCTGAACCTGAGCCTGTGCAGGAGTTTGTCTGATGGACTCTTTCCTCTCCTGTCTGATGAAGTGAATGAAGTTTCAGTCTTTTTTGAAACGATCGATGATTAAAACAACAGTTTGAAACGTTTTAAAGCACCTGGTATCAAAAAAGTATCAAAGAATCAGAGAGATCGACGACATCACGATGAATCAAACATACTTTGGACCTTTAAGTCGTTTAGAGCTTTTATTAAAAACAAGAGAACAGACCTTTAATCAGTCTATGGTTACCTGCAGTCTCGTTGCGTGGAGGTTTATTCTAAATGTGAGGAAACTGAAAAATCTGATTCTGTGAATGAACACGTGAACGCATCATTCTAACAGAGGTCATACGGTGGGACACAGATTCTGGTTCTGGTTCTGGTTTTGCTCTTTTACAGTTATTGAATTATTTCTTCACTTTGAAACTTTTCTCATTTCCTGTCGTCCTCTGCCTCCCCCCTCCTCCCCCTCCTCCCCCTCTGATCTCATTGTGGACTCAGAGCTAATTGAGCGCGGCGGCTCTTCTTATTATTCATGTACAATTACAGATGTGATAATGTGCTTAAATCCTTCTAAATGACCGTTCATGCCTCGCGCTCACTTTGAAGTCTCGTCAAAGATGGAAAAATCTGCAGAAAAAAGGGAAATTACAAAGGCCAATCAGAGGAGCAATCTGTGACAGCCAATGAGAGGAGGAGGGGGGGAGGCGAGGAGGCCTGCCCCCCCCCCTCCGCCTTTCTTCTTCATGTAATATAAACTAAAGTCCATTAATTTTTTAAGCTGTATTTAATACATTTTGTGCAGAAAGTTTGGTGCAGAGAGAGTGGGGTGTTCCAGCTGACTGCATGAATATTAATGACGGTGTTACGATGATTAAAGAGGCTTCAGCTCAAATCCAACACAATCCGCCTGTGATCCGCCCGCCGCCGCCGCCACACCGCCACCACCACCACGCTGCCGCACATGAATTTAGATACGGACATTAAGCCCAGGAGACACACACACACACACACACACACACACACACACACACACACACACACACACACACACACACACACACACACACACAACACACACAACACACACACACACACACACACACACACACACCTTCATACGGACAAACATACAGTAAATACTGATGTACGTTTGAGTCTGACCTTTTATCAACACGATTAATCCTCAGTCAGTTCATTCTGTCGGAGCGGAAACAATTAATAAACAATTAACAGGAAATTAATCAGCAATGGCTGCTTCACTGATTTACAGTTTAAAAGAGAAAAAAAGAAATTCATCAAATTCATCTTTGAACTTTACTGTTTTTATTAAATGTTAAAGAAGAATTAAATTATTTAAGTTTGAAGAGTTTTAAAGCGACTGAGCACCTTTTTGTTTTTAAATTAATGACTTTTTAATATTTTCAAAATAACACAAATTACGTTTTTGCAGTGATTTAATTTAAGTAGATTACGCAAACACAGTACTCAAGAATTGCAGTTCCTCCAGTGTCCACTAGAGTCTGTCTCCTGCAGTGAGTCAGTCCCCATAGAGCCCCATGTTAAAATGTCAATGTAAAATGTAACATGTCTTTAAGTGATGTAGAATTAGGGGGTGTGGTCTCTTTGAGTGACAGGTGGGAGCTGCTAGCTGTCTGATAGGTGTCGCCTCAACTAATTCAGTCCCTGACCTTTGACCTCTGGGCCGTGTTTGTGCTGTTGCAGCCTTTTGGAGATTTGTTCATGTAAATATCAGACTAACAGAGCTCCACTTTTTACAACCAGTCACATTAGAACATGATTTGTATGTTAGCAACAATAAGCAGCTAATCTGTCACTGTGAGAACCAGACCTGGAGTGTTAGCTCACTCTCTGTTTGTCATGGGTTCATTTATTTGTGGCGGCACGTGCATGGAGTCAGGTTGGTTGTTGGAGTTTGTCTGCAATTTTTGATCATTTAAATTAAGAAATGACCCAATATCCTGTATCTACAACTTCTATTTTTGTTGCTGTGACATCAAACAGGTGCTGATGTCGTTTAATTTTTTCTTAAATCATGTCAAACCCTAAACTGCAGATGAAAAACAAAACCAAACAGAACTGAGACACATTCAGACTCTGCGCACACGCACACACACACACACACACACACACGCAGGCTGGTCAGCAGATTACTATAATGACAGGCGAAGAAGACAAAGGGCGAGAGAGGTTGCTAGTGAATGAGGAGAGAAAGGGTGGAGATGGTCGTGTGAACTGTGTTTAATCTGCGGAGTGGGTGGTCTACACACACACACACACACACACACACACACACACACACACACACCACACACACACACACACACACACACACACAACACACACACACACACACACACACACACACACACACACACACACCACACACACACACACACACACACACACAGTATTGTTAGATGAGGGTGGGCTGCAGACTCTGGATTGTTTGATCAGACTGAAGTAGCTGCTTTTCATGTCTGTGTGCAGGAATGTGTGTGTGTGTGTGTGCGTGTGCGTGTGTGTGTATACACGTGTGTGTGTGTGTGTGTGTGTGCATGTGTATACGTGTATGTGTGTGTGTGTGTGCATACGTGTGTGTGTGTGTGTGTGTGTGTGTGTGTGTATACGTGTGTGTGTGTGTGTGTGTGTGTGTGTGTGTGTGTGTATACGTGTATGTGTATGTGTGTGTGTGTGTGTGTGTGTGTATACGTGTATGTGTGTGTGTGTGTGTGTGCATATCAATAACATGTTAAAGTGATCAGACCAGCATCTGATAAACAAATTGAACCAAACTGGTCCGTTCAGCAGTACACAGACCTCAGAGCAGCTCACACAGGTTTGATTGACAGCTGATGATGGTAGGTGGGATTATCCTCCTTCACCTTCTTTCTCTGTTTTTACTCCTTCTCTTCATTCTCACCTCATTCTCCTTCTTTCTGCTTCTACTCTGTATTCTCCTTTTCTCTCCGTCTTTCCTCTCTTTCTCATCACTTTCCCCCTCCTTTTCTTCTGTCTTCTCCTCCCTCTCCTCCTCCTCTTCCACCTGCTCCTCTTTCTCCTCCTCTTCCTCCTGACAGGTGTGATGAGCAGACTCTAATTCCTGTACACACACTCAGATGTTTATTTCTGGCTGAAATGACACTCCAGGTTTCCGGATGTTAACAGACTGAACACACCTGACTTCAGGTGTAACATCACCAGGTGAGACCAAGCTTCAGGTATGACTCTGACGGGACACTGTGACTCTGCTGTCAACTTGCATGTTGCGGATGCCGAGGTCACATACAGGGATTGTTGCCGTAGTAACAGATAATCAGGGCCGTCATTGGTCGCAGCAGGTGTGATCCTATGTGTTCACATCAGACGTTTCACTGCAAACACTTCTGAAGAAAGTCAAACTCCAAATATACCCACGTCCTCCAAAAGCATTTACTCGAGAGATTACAGACGAGGCGCTCCGCCATAACGGGAGAAACCAGATTACTGAGAGAGACAGAGACACCAGACTGAAGGAACCAGAAGGAAACATGCTCACAACTTCAACTAAAAACAAAATCAGGAATCCACTTCCACACCTCTACGTGAAGGAGCCGAGAGAACCTAGGCGAGCAAACGGTCACACCTTGACAGCGTGCAAACAAAAGAACTAAATGTAAAGAATTCAAATTCAACTTCATTTAACACACCTGCTTTGTTTGTTTGTGCCTTTTAAAGCCTCATATTAAATCACTGATGAAAACCTTCAGATCTATAAATAAACGCTCAGATATGTTAGAGACCACACATCACGTCTCAGTTAATATATTTTATGTCAGCAGTAGTAACAGAAGCAGCAGAAGAGGAGTCACTCATGACAGTTGGTGCTGAGCTATTCGACCTCCTCTCAGTGCGTCTCTGAGTGAACAGCTGTTTGTAGGACCACAGCTCCACCTGGTGGACAGACTGACTCGTTACATCTCCTCCCTCTTATTTAACTGATGAACACACGGAGAGACGGTTTAAAAGGATGCAGCAGTTTGACATAAAACCTGTTCTGACCTGTGAACACACACCTGATGTTCCGCCCTGTGTGCATCATTTAGTCCATAAATAAAACATTTAATTTTATTAGTACTGCCCAGATTCAAAGAATTAAAACCCAATGTTTTAAACAGCGAGCACAGAGAGGTCTGCTCTTCAGAGACTCGTCACAAAGCTTTTACTCAGAGTGAAGAGAGGGAAGCAGGTAAGGTAACACCTGTGAGACTGAACCACAGGAAGTGAAGGAGCTGCAGCCTCACTCTTCCTGTATTCACTCAGGAACCTTCAGTTCTGACGTTACTGTTTCCTGTTGGACCCTTCTTTATTCTGACTCCTGATTCTTTCTCTTAAAGTCTAAAGATGTTTCTGAATACTTTCCCAGGAGAACCGTCAGAACCAGTTCAACCAGTCCACCTGCTCGCCTCTGATGCTAACGTTACTTTCAAGTCTCTTTGTGTCATATTCATCGATCGACTTTTATTTAAAATCACATCAAAGTCTAAAAGCATGTTGCCATGACAACACAAACTCCTGTAGTACTTTACCTGTGTACATGTCCACCAGAGAGTCCCGGAGCTCCTTGCTGGGCGTCCATGATGTTATGGCGGTCTCAGCTGGACTCAATGAACTGGTTTCTCTGGAAACACAAAGACATGAGAGCTCAGAGACCTCACAAACACACACACTGTGTCAGACACACACTGTGTCACTCACAGACAGACACACACACACACACACACACACCTCAGTCTTCTACTAAACTCTTCTGACTGGTTAAACTGGTCAGTTTCCAGTCAGACCAGAACACAGAGTGATTCAAACTCAGAAGGTTAGAGGAGGTTCAATCCTCCTGATCTCCAGTCAGCCTACACGTCTGATCACATGACCCACAGGTCACATGGTCCCAGCAGGTCATGTGATGTTTCATCTGTACTCAACTTTAATTACCCAGAATTCCTCAGTGAGAGACGCTCAGCTGATCGTTGAAACCACAGTCACAACTCGTCAATAATCAACTTCAGATCGGTTCAGTACGGGTTCAGACCCAAACCAGACCAGTTCAGATCTAACAGTGTGCTGCGACCAGTCTGACACCAGTTTAAACCGGTTTCACACCGTATTTAAACTGTTTCAGACCGTATTTAAACTGGTTCCAGACCATATTTAAACTGGTTCCAGACCGTATTTAAACTGGTTCCAGACCATATTTAAACTGGTTCCAGACCGTATTTAAACTGGTTCCAGACCATATTTAAACTGGTTCCAGACAGACATCAGACACTTTGAGTCACTCTCTTACTCGTTGAGTTGCCGCTGCAGGTTGCTGATCTTCTTCTTTGCCCTCTGCAGAGCAAACTGAACGTCTTCAGCTCTGCTGCTGCTCGACGCCATCAACACACTTCCACCTGTCTAACTGCACACCTGACCGTCTCCATGACAACCAACCAGCACACTCTACCCCTGCTCAGTGTGCTTCCAGGTCACACAGCTGAGAA